GCACTTATTTAAAGACGGGGGAAGTACATAACACACAAGAATCAATATGTAATGCACAATACGAATATATGCTCAAGAGTCAGTACCTAACACAATATATATATATAACCACAATAAGTATTTACCACACAAGAATCGATATCTTACAAACAACAATCAATATTTAAAGCACATGAACCGACCATCTTACTATTATCTAGGATATAACACATTACAATTAATATTTGATGCAAAATAAATGAATATAAAATTAATCATGGAGACTAACATGACTAATGCACAGATGAAATAAAGAGGAGTGATATTTATGTCTATAATTGAAAAGCTCAATTGATGTGACAGAAGAAAATAAAATATTCAATATGATATGGAAGTCATCTCTTTCCATTAATAAACCGTAGGAACAAGGAAGGTCAAAGTAAATCGTCGGTTACCAAAATAGCCAAACATGTGTTAGATGAAAATAGCCTTTACTACCATTAAACTGATCGCAGATCGACTTACATTTTTGATGGATGAGATTTGTTCTCACATCTCACGTTAAGGGGTGTTCTCATTTGAACCAATATATATGTGTGTGTGTATAATTTGGATGAACAAATGAGAATGCAATCTCTGAAGAGAATTAGAATGAACCGGGACGTTGAACCGGAATGTTAGATTTAAAAGTTGTGCATTACGTGAAGTACAAATATGTTGTAACACTTGAGATTTAATATAAATGGATTAATAGTACTACTCATACCAACAGAGGTGCATCTCCTTTTAAGGGAGCTCATTACCTAAGAACTCCAAAGTTAAGCGTGCTTGCACGGGAGTAGTCTTGGGATGGGTGACCCCCTGGGAAGTTTCTCAGGGCGCGCATGAGTGAGGACAAAGTGCGCGGTAAAGGCTTGTGGTGGTTTGTGGGGACAGTACTATTGGTCCGGAGTAACTACCTCGGGTCCGGTGGGGCCGGGGTGTTACAGGTGGTATCAGAGCAACCCTGCGACAGTGTGTTGATCCGTTGGATATCGGGCGGGCACTTAGTAGGGTAAAAGATTCTGGGGTATGATTGAGATTGGTTTAAGGGCGCAACGAGGACGTTGCGATCCTAAGTGGGGGTGATTGTAACACTTGAGATTTAATATAAATGGATTAATAGTACTACTCATACCAACAGAGGTGCATCTCCTTTTAAGGGAGCTCATTACCTAAGAACTCCAAAGTTAAGCGTGCTTGCACGGGAGTAGTCTTGGGATGGGTGACCCCCTGGGAAGTTTCTCAGGGCGCGCATGAGTGAGGACAAAGTGCGCGGTAAAGGCTTGTGGTGGTTTGTGGGGACAGTACTATTGGTCCGGAGTAACTACCTCGGGTCCGGTGGGGCCGGGGTGTTACATATGTGTTACCATAAATAAAAAATGCAGTGACATTTTTTCAAATAAATTAAACTTTTCATGTCCATTTAAATATAAATATTTACTTATATTTGACTACCAAAATTATTTTCTAATATACTTATTATTTGTATTTATATATACACATCTATAAATATATATACACATATAATATTGGAATACATAAGAGTAAAGTTTTGGAAGTTGAATAGTTTTTTCTTGAATTTATTGTGTTGCCACATGTCATTTTTGCACACAAAGGATGTTGCCACATGTCAAGAATTCATCTAAAGAGTTCTGAGTTCTCTAAGGGTTTGTTTTATCATATTATATATATATATAGATTTTACTACACTTGTTAGATTGAAGTATTTATTAAACTAGTTGCAATTTTAGTTAATGTACTACACTTGTTAGATTAAAATATAAAAGTAGTTGTAATTTTAGTTAATTTTATAAACTATTTATTAGACTAGTTGAAATTTTGCTTTATTATTACTAGTCACATTTTAAATACATTCTAATATTAGTTACATTCCCATTTCTTTAAGTAGTTGCATTTTTATTTAATTTTACTAAAAATAACAGTTGTTATTACTTGCATTGTTTTTGTACTCATAATTACATATTTGTTAGAATTTAATATTTGTTACATTTGAAGATGGAAAGTGGTAGACATTATGTAGATATGGATAACCTCCAACGCAACCGAAAGAAGGAGATTGATAGGAATCATCCTAATTCACGTAAAGGTAAAAGACATATCGGGTCTTCTTCTCAAAGCCGAGATGATTTTGAAACGGATTACCAACGGAGAGATGCGATGTCTGACGCGCAACTACAACAACTATTGGCCCAACGACATGAGCGCTTTTACCAACAACATGCATGACATCCCCGACATTGAGGAAGAGCTCGAAGATGAGGATGCGGAGGAGGATGATCCGGCGACGGCCGAGGACGAACATGACGACTCTCAAACCCCGGACGATGACACCCACGACGAGAACGAGGTTGGTTCATCCCAACCCGGTAAGAAAGGTGAATCTCTCCTTATGAAAAATATTTTTAAAGTGGAAGGACCCGGAGACCGAGAAGTGTTACACCACTTGCGATCATTGTAAGAAAGATATTGGTTTGGGGATTTCACAAGGATACAGTGGCGGGTCTAGGCATATTAAAGGCCAACACCCCGTGGAGTATGCGAAATTATCTAAAGGCAAGATGAAGCAAACTGAAATATGAGATTTCCAACTGGCCAACCCTATGGTAATTTCTCCTATGATGATTCCAAACATTTAATTGTTATGTCTCACTTAATTGTTGAAGAAAAGTTGCCTTATACTTTTTATGAAAATCTTGTCTTGCTTTAAAAGCGTATGCGGCTGGTTCTTTAAATCCTCAATTTAGAAATTATAGTAGCAAAATGATTAAAAAAAATTATAAGGCAATATGGTTTAGAAAAGGCAAATTTACAAATGTTTTTCGCAAACTTTAATGGCCGTGTTAGTATTTGTAGTGATATATGGGAGGATATTCATCATCATTTGTATTATTTGGGTGTGACTGCACATTATATCGATGATGATTGGGAAATGCATAAACATGTTCTTGCTTTTCGTGAATTTAATGATTGACACACTGCTGATAATATTTATATTCTCATTGAGCGTATTTTAATTGAGTATAATTTGACTGATAAGATTTTTGCTATGAGTTTTGATAATGCTACTAATAATACTGTTGTTATACCTAGATTGCGTCAATTGTGTGGTGCTTCTACTTTGATGAGTAGGTTTTTTCATCAACGTTGTGCATGTCATATTCTCAATTTATGTGTAAAAGATGGGCTAGCCGCGCCAGGAGATGCTATGGAGATAGTGAAGGGATGAATTAGACTTATTTGGGCTAGTAATCCACTAAAAGTGCAATGACGCAAATATTTGAGGGATAGACATGTCAAATATTGTCAATTCCCTAAAGATTTGTCTATTCGATGGAATAATACTTACTCCCTCTGTCCCCTTTTAAATGTCCCGGAGGAGGGTGGCACGGATTTTAAGAAAAGTGAGTTTGTGTGGTTGATAAAGTAAGAATAAAGTAAGAATGATTTTGAGTAACACAAACTTTACCAATTAAGGTATGGGACATTTAAATAGGGACATCCCAATATGGTAAAACGGGACATTTAAAAGTGGACGGAGGGAGTATAACTTAATTGTTGTACTTGTTAGATTTAAAGACCATTTTCCTTCTTTTTTAAAAGAATATGTTAACTATATTATAAACCCAGCTAACATCATTACTATGAAAATTGTGAATGTTTTGGTAAATTTTAATAATGCAACTCTAACTTTTAGTCATGTTTGTAAACCTACCTCAAACCAATTTTTTGTTGAAACTGTTAATCTCTCCGGTGCTTTTTGTGAATTTTCCGATTCCCTTACGTTCATCATTTTTGTGATTACATGAAATAAAAGTTTTCAAAATACTATTCACATATTCCGCATATATATGGTATTGCATCTAATCTTGATCCTCGTTTCAGACTTAATGCTTTGCAACAATGTTTAGATTACTATTATGTTTCTTTTTTTGATCCATTTTCTATGTACGAAGATAAGCTCATAGATCCTAAACAAGAATACAATGAGATTAGTAATTTATTTCATCTACGGAGTATTATTTAATGAGTTTCATGCACAATATGGTAATGCACCCCCTCCCCCGACACAAACATCTTCTTCATCTAAAAGAAAATCATTTTTGAAATATACATTTGACAATCTTATGAAAAAAAGTAAATCAACTCTCGTTGTTGAGCAAAGCTCGATCAACGAGCTTTCTTTATATCTAACGTTTCCTGTTGACTATGAAGAAGGGGATGACTTTGACGTTCTAAAGTGGTGGAAGGAAAAAGAAATAACGTTTCCGGTTTTATCAAAGATGGCTAAGCAAGTGCTAGCAATGCCGGTATCGATAGTTACCGTGGAACAAAAATTTACTGCGGTCGGCAACGTCCTAACATATATAGAACGAGATTGAGCGCAAAATCTTTTGAGACACTTGTTTGCTTCCACGATTGGCTAAAGGCCCAATGTAGAACTCAAGAACTTAGCATCACCCCCCACTTTATGGAGGAAACGACAACTGACGGTGGCAGAGATTCTGACTGATTATTTTTATTAGGAAATACTCCCTCCGTCCCCTTTTAAATGGGACAGGAGATGGTGGCACGGGTTTTAAGAAAAGTGAGTTTGTGTGGTTGATATTAATTGATAAAGTAAGAATAAAGTAAGAATGATTTTGAGCCACACAAAGTTTACTAAATAAGGTATGAGACAATTAAATAGGGACATCCAAATATGGTAAAACGGGACATTTAAAAGGGGACGAAGGGAGTATATTTAATGTTTTAATCTTTTCTCAATTCTCAATTGTAGTTCATATTTCAAATAAATATACTTTGACTTTTTTATATCTAGCACTTTTTGAATTAATTTCCCGACCCGACCCGAGACCCGGGCGGGTAGACCGGTCCGGTAGAATCCCGGGCCGGTTCCGGGCCTTAAGCCCAAGAATTTAGTCCCATCAGGGCCCTGGATTCATCTTAATCCGATAGTCGGCACTCATTTCTAACGGTAATCGTGGTACGGCATTATTACCGACAAGCTCCCATTAACGGAGTGTGTCCAGTCAGTCTTTAGTGTAAACGACACAATCAGTCTATGAAAAACAACTCTATTTCCGCAAAAAGAAGCACAAATTCGCTCATGGCATATAATTGTACTCTTTCTTCTTCCCCTCAAGTAATCCTTGTACAATCGCTTACTTCTTAATTTATCAAAGAATCACTTATTCACTAACTAGTTTATTTACAGAGGCATCGTTCTTTCACTTCCCTACTCAATGGATTCTATTCGTGCGTTGCACTGCTATTCTATTGCCAATGCCAAGTATTCATATTCTAACACCCATATTGCGATCAGAAGTTTGAGGAAATCGAAACCCAGTGAATCAAGACTGATATTTGCTCCCCAAAGAATAACAGGGTCCTTCATATGCCGACCTATTAGGTCCACTGGAATCATACGTGCTGCATCTTCTGTTGAAACCAGGTTTCTTTTTTTTCTCTTTTCTTTTTGCTTTTGATGTAACCAAGTTTGCTCCTTTTTTGTTTTTAAAATTTAATTAGTATTTATTAATGAATGGTGATAGTACACAAATGATGTGCACAATGTGAAACTAGCAGAAATGGAAACTGATATATTCTGAAGTAGTTGTGTAAGGTTTCCTTTTTCAGTGACTGCCATTATGTAGAAATGGAATTTTTTTCAAGTACAGTTTATTCTTTGGTTCTTCCACTTTCTATTACCTACAAAGAAGTACTATAATTTAATTAATAAGTGGATGTGTTGGCACTTAATATACATAGCATGGTGAGTCTGAGTTTTTTCCTGATATAGGGAGGGACAGATGAAAGGAGAAAAGAAAGGACAGCCTAGATCAGATCATGAAAAGTTGAAGGTAAAGATATGGCTGGATCGCCAGGTTGAGTTTGGGGAGCACGTTGCGATTCTGGGATCAACAAAAGAACTGGGTTCATGGAAGAAGAGTGTGATGATGGGGTGGTCAGAAAAAGGTTGGGTTTCCGAATTGGAATTGAAGGGGAGTGAGCCTGTAGAGTTCAAATTTGTAATTGTTGGAAAGAATAAGAATCTACTTTGGGAAACTGGAAAGAACCGGGTCTTGAAGCTTCCAAGAGAAGGACTTTTCGAGATGGTTTGCCAATGGAACATGACAGATGAACCTGTGCAATTGTTGCCTTTGGGGTCAGAAGGGGAGTATAAAGCAGATAAGCAGGGTGAAAAAGGATCTTTAGTTACTGAAGATGCTAATATAATGAATGTGCCAGTGAGTACATTTGTGGAGCAGTGGCAAGGGAGGGCTGCATCCTTTGTACGTTCGAAGGATCAACTGGACTTGCAAAAAGATAGGAAGTGGGATACATCAGGGCTTTCTGGAATTCCACTAAAGCTAGTGGAAGAAGACAAGAATTCTCGAAATTGGTGGCGAAAGGTAGATTTGTAAAGAAATTAAGCTCATAGGAGTAGAACATGGATTATGTGCACAAATAGGAGTGTCATTGTTTTGTGCTAAAAATAGAACTCATTCAGTTCTAAAAGAGAAAAGAAGCAGTTAATAGTTCTTCTATTAGTGAATGAGTCCTATTTTCAGGAATAAAGAATGATATTCCTATTTGAAGAAATGTGTTAAGTTTTAGCCCTATCAATGGATTTTCCAAAATTTTAACCTGATTTTGTGCATAAATATGCCTTGATTTAGCTGAATGAGTATTTCTATTCTATGTAGTATTCCAAGCTAGACTCAATGCCATGCCATACCCTAGTTTTAGATAATTGGTAATTACACCCCTTATGACTTTATGCTCTTCCTTTACTGGTAGAAGGTCTTTGTCATGAGTATTTGAAGCCTATCAGGACTTTAGTGTTGTTTTTTGAGTCAATTAAGTTGTAAATGAATAAATGAGGCTTCAGCTATTTGTTGTTTGCTGGTCATATGCATATATTATATCAATAAGTACAATCACAGGATGTATCACTCTACAATTAGGTATAACTTGGAAAGAATGTAAATGCTTTTAGAAAACTATTGCAAATTTATATGATGTATCATTCTACAATTATCTATAATTTGGAAAGGATATAAAGTGTTTTCAGAAAAGTACCGCAAAACTTATTTTTTCAGCACCATACAGTACTGTAGCGGTGAAATTGTTTTGTTGAGAAAGTGATCAGTAAAGAACTTATTATGATTGCAAATCTGTTTTGAGTCTATGATTGGTTGTTTGATTAGTCGAGGTATTTTAGTTTATTTGAGAAGAACAGTACACTTTTTAGGTTAAGAGTTACTTAAACAAGTCAAAGAAAGACAGGATGTTGATTAGGTTCAACCCTTTAACTGCGTTGAGGTTAGTACATTTCTTAGTTGTAAAAAATGAAAAACACTATTTGTCAATTGGTGCCCTTGCATCTGTTTCTTTGTCAAATGCTGCAATTTGCAGGAGTTTGAGCAAATATGCTTTAAAATCTGTGGTGAAGTTGTGTTCAAGTGCCAACTTTTGGTTTGGCAATTTTGTTTGCAGTGACTTATTTAAATTTGTTAATGATCGAAAAAATACATTAAATTCTTATATATATATATATATATATATATATATATATATAGGACTGCTCAGGTCCAGCCGGAGGGACGGGAGCATCCGTCCGAACTTCACTGTTTGGGGCGGTTCCTGGTGGAATTTTTCGATGAACTTTTTTGAGCGTGTTCCTCATCAAGTCTAGTTTGTCCATACCAAATTTCAGCTCAAAATTTGACCGGGAAGGCAGTCAAATAAATTCTTGAAGCTTACTGCACATTCTGCGCATATATGAAGTGCAGTAAGTTTCAAGAATTTATTTGACTGCCTTCCCGGTCGAATTTTGAGCTGAAATTTGGTATGGACAAACTAGACTTGATGAGGAACATGCTCAAAAAATTTCATCGAAAAATTCCACCCGGAACCGCCCCAAACAGTGAAGTTCGGACTGCTGCTCCCATCCCTCCGGCTGGACCTGAGCATTTCTGTGTGTGTGTGTGTGTATATATATATATATATATATATACTATCTAATGCTCTGTATACTTTAACGTTCTCTCAATCTAAAATTCAATTATGAGAGGTCGTTGTTTGAATTTAAACCACGCCTTTGCTAACTTCTAATAACATTATAGCTTGAAGTTGTGCGTGACCTAATTGCGGGGAATGTTGAAAGTGCATACCGCCTGGAGGCTCTTACTTACTCAGCTATCTATCTGAAGGTTATGTGATGCTATTTTATTGATTTTCATCCTTAAGACCTTAACTCAACCTACAATATAGACATAATTTTTACCTTTCTACTGAATTATGCCCTGCCCTTACTTGCAGTGGATAAACACAGGACAAATCCCTTGCTTTGAAGATGGGGGCCATCATCGACCAAATAGGCATGCTGAAATTTCTCGGAATATATTTCGTGAATTAGAAAGAATCTTGGGCAGGCCAGATGCATCACTTCAGGTTGTTAATCTTCAACTTGAATGTTGGCCTAATCTTTATCTAGTTTACAACTTTCTCTTCTGCATTTTAATGCTTTGTTTGTTTGAGAAGAGAAATAGATATGAGAGAATGAGAGAACGGAGAGTATGAGAAGAAAGAAGTTGGTGAGAATTGGGAAAAAAGATTGGATTTTGTGTATTGTTTGGTTGGACAGAATTAGGGGGGAGAAACAAAATAAGTGTTTTTAAATAGACAGAAACATCCTCAAATTTAAAAATGATGCGGAATAAGAGAAAACAAAAAAGCTGGTCAACTTTTTTTGTACTTCCTTTGCATCCATTTTTCCCTTGCTCCCTTTCTCTCCCTTCCAAAACAAAAAGCAAACACAAAAGATCTGACACTCCTATTTCCGTCTTCCCTACTCTTCTCTTTTCAAACAAACAAACCATAATGGAAGGCATTTCTTTCCATTGGGTGATATTTTAGCATTTAAAGCAAATAAAGGGAAGGAGATGAGAGTAGGCATTTCTCTTATTCTCACTCCAACAGTAAGGCACTCCTCTTTCTCTCTTCTCAACAATACAATTCAACAGAAAATGACAAGAACATTACGGGACAGAGGGATTAAGGTGGTGATGATAGTGGTAATTCTTTGCATGAGTATGATCTATAATTCAAACACAAATTCTTACTTCTGAAGATTTTTTGCGATGCATCATGTTTATCTTCATGATCTGGGAGTGCTCTCTTTTCTCAGTGGTATTTGTTTTGGTTTCCTATAATATAATTTGAGCTGCTAATTTATATGCTATAGCAGGCAGAAAATGTCAACAAGGTATACTTGAACCACATAAATATAAATTAAAAAACCTTAATATGTCAAATGTAAGGGAAAAGCAACTCTAGTTCTTTGAATCCATCATGTACTTGTGATGGAGGTTAGTTCTATCTTTCACTTACTAGTTTTTTCTGTGCAGGAAATACTTGTAATCCGCAAGATCCAACCATGCTTGCCTTCTTTCAAAGCTGAGTTTACTGCATCTGTCCCCTTGACAAGAATCAGGGATATTGCTCATAGAAATGACATCCCTCATGACCTTAAGGTTGTATTTTTTGTTTTCTGAATTACAAATTGTTTGTAAGTTCTGTAATTTATTTATCAGTGCTTGGTTTTCAGCAAGAAATTAAACATACGATACAAAACAAGCTTCACCGTAATGCTGGTCCTGAAGATTTAGTTGCAACTGAACTAATGCTTGAAAGGATAACTAAAAACCATGGAGAATATAGTGAAGCATTTGTAGAACAGTTCAGGATATTCCATCGTGAACTGAAAGATTTCTTCAATGCTGCAAGGTATGGTATAAATGAATTCTTTATTTAGCAAATATCCTTGATGATTGTATGGTTTAGCTGTAAGATATGGTATAAGTGAATTAAAACCTGGAACTCATCATCCGTAGAGGTGTTGGGGTTAGGCCCTCCCTAATAACAGTACTACTAAAATAACAGAATAGTGAGAATGCATATGAGGAGACGAGTAATAATGCAAAGTAATAATTACTGTGCTGAAATTGAGATGCATATAGGACTTTCTAGAATACATCCATTTATTAACAATATGACACAAAATATTTTCTATGTTATGGAAAATATGATCTATCACCTATCAGAGCAAAGACGCAATATAGTACTACTAGTAGTAGCAATAAGTATCAGAAGTAGCAGAAGTAGTAGAAGTGGTTATAGTAGCAATAAGTTCTTTTTTGGTTTTATATATTTGTATGTATTCTTTATTGTTTAAAGATTAAACTATTTACTCTATTAAATACTTTAATGACATCTTGCTTTGACTGCTCTCTCAGTCTTGAAGAACAACTGGAATCTATAAGGGAATCATTCGATGAAAGAAGCTTATCGATTCTGTCATTGTTTTTCAAGTCCAAAAAGGTCTGCTGTTCTCTCTGGTCCATTATATGTGAATTAAAGCTAAAACATTCTAGGTCCAAAAGGTTTGCTTCCATTGATCTGAGATTGTGAAAAATATTCCAGGAAACCTAAAACATATTTAATTATAAATTTATAATCAATTTAAGCTCTTGCACTAATATACTCTGTAATCGTACTAAATTAAGAACTTCTCAGCCCCTAGCGGATCCAGACTAAATTCATGCCACACTAGATTCTGGTCATAAGATGCATGATGTATGGCAAGTAAAAGCAGGAAACTTCCAGAGTTGGCCTCTGTCTTTTCTCGAGGGTTGTAGCCAATTAGGCTATTGACTCATGCCTCTTGCCTAGGTGTTATTGGGTGCTTCGAGTAATTCATGTGTGAACTTATCCAGCATTGTTAATTTTGAGCTTTGCTCATAAGTACCTTCTGAAATTGAGTGTCTGGGCTTAGATACAACAACAACATCCAAGCCTTAATCCCAAAACATGAATCGATGCCAAAAAGAGAAGATAGACAAGAAGAAGAAAAACGGAAAAACGAATAAGATAAAGATAAATAAATATAAGATAACAATAAGTAAGAATATAAGAAAGATAAAAGAGCATAAAAAGCTAGAAGATAGAAATAACATACAACCATAAAAAGACAAATGAAAAAGAGAGGGGAAAAATAGAAAAGAGATCAATAGTCCACACGAATGTGCGCCCTCCACTTTACTCTCTCCAAAGCCATACTCTCATCCAACCCAAGAAGACGCATATCAGTTCTGATTCCTCTAATCCAAGTCTGTTGGGTCTTCCCCTCCCTCTCCTCTCTGTCTCTTCTCCCCACCCCTCAAGTCGTCTAACAGGTGCATCACTCGGTCTTCTACACACATGCCCAAACCACCGCAAACGAGACTCCTGCATCTTATTTTCTATAGGTGCTACTCCTACCTTTTGCCTGATTATATCATTCCTCAAGCAGTCTTTTTTGGTATGTCCACACATCCAACGCAACATACAGATCTCTGCCACACTCATCTTTTGAATGTGACATTGCTTTACCGTCCAACACTCTGCGCCATACATTAATGCAGGCCTAATTGCGGTTTGATAAAATTTACCTGTCAGTCTAGTCAACATACCTCAATCGCATAGAAATCCTGATGCACTCTTCCATTTCATCCACCCAGCTCTGATTATATGGGATACATCTCCATCTAATTCACCATCCTTCTGAATTATGGAGCCCAAGTAACGAAACATATCACACATTGGTATCTCTTTACCATCAAGAATAATCCCACTGTTGCTACTACTTCTACCTCTACCAAACTTGCACTCCATATACTCAGTCTTGCTTCGGCTCAGTCTGAAACCTTTGGTCTTCAATGTTTGTCGCCATACTTCCAACTTTGTGTCTCATCAATCAATACAATATCGTCGGCAAACATCATGCACCATGGTATATCTTCTTAAATTGACTTCGTAAGTTCATCCATGACTATAACAAATAAGAAAGGACTCAGAGCCGATCCTTGGTGCACTCCGATAGTAATAGGGAACTCTGTGGTCCTCCCTACACTAGTACGGACACTCGTAGTACAAGCCTCATACATATCCATGATGATACTGATATACTTACGTGATATGCCTTTTCTAGTTAAGGCCCACCAAATGACTTCTCGAGGTACCCTATACTATTTAATTCACATGTTGGAAGAGAATAAATATTGAATGTAGTTTCTTAAAATGACTTGGAAAGCTTAAGTTTGTAGAATGCATAACATGCAAGGATGGACTCTTTTACTAGAATTAATTAATGTTATTTGTTGTTATAATTATTCTTTCTTTGTTAATAATAAAAATGACAACAACAATCACAATAATAATAATAATATTAACAACAATAATAATTTTTCTGTTTTACCAATTTCGGTAAACTTTCATGTTTTTTTTTTGTTTTAAGATCTACTTGTCATCACATCAAATAACTTGTCTCGTCCTTTTCTTTTTCTCATTTGATTCTTTTATATGTCTAGGCCTTGGACGAAATGGGTAAAACAAGTCATGTTTCGGTTGATGGAGTGATTCCACTGCTAGTCAATGCATTACAATCTTTAGATGCCCTTCGTGAGGTACTAGTCAAGGGTCTTGAAAGTGGCCTCAGAAATGATGCTTCTGATTCTGCAATCGCAATGCGCCAAAAGGTTTGACAGTTTCATTATTGATACTTTAAAAAAATGTTTCCAACTTTTGCAAATCAAACTAAAAGGCTGATTTCTTATAAATTTGCAGTGGCGTCTTTCTGAGGTTGGACTAGAAGACTATGCTTTTGTGCTTATGAGCAGGTATATGCTATGTGCTAAAGCTTATTTGCAGATGTGAGTTCTTTTGGTAGTTTGTGCCTAAATGAATGAGGGACTGAGGGTTAACATACCAAGTCTATTTTAATTCTTTGGCATAATGTTGATAATAACACCGATACCATTCAAATTTCTTTAGTAGATAATAATGGTTAAATTGAAAATCTTGAAGATTGACACTGTTTTTCGAAATTTCAGAAGAAGCTTTTCATGTTGTCTACTGTTGAAAGGAAGTTCTATTCGCAGGAATCCATTAATGTGGCTATATGGTTAACAGATAGTTGCATAGTTGAATCCCAAACTCATTGTACTCAGTTAACTGCACCATTCCATACCTTTCTTTTCATAGAAAAACAGCAGAAAACAAGCCTTGTTTTTTCCTGAAACTACATCCTGAAATGCTAATTTGTAGGTATATTAACGCACTTGAAACTCTGGGAGGAGCGAATTGGCTTGTGGAAAATGTGGATCCAAAAAAAATCATCATGTGGAATGATTCAATTGCGGGGCTTATAGTTGGTATTCACCAATTAGGTCTGTCTGGCTGGAAGTCCGAAGAATGTAAAGCAATTAGAAATGAGCTTTTGTCTTGGAAAGAGAAGGGCTTTTTGGATATGGAAGGTTTGATCTTCTCGTGAATAGCTCGTTGTGGTTGGTGATTGCATGTTCTTGGTTATTAAAGTTCTTCTCACTTGTCTTATTGAAGGTGGTGAAGATGGTAGAACAATTTGGGCACTGAAACTCAAAGCCACTCTGGACAGATGTAGGAGGCTGACTGAAGAGTATTCTGAGACTCTTCTTCAGTTATTACCAGAAAAAGTCCAGGTGTGATTCCTTACTTATGCATCTTTGATTTTGAAACCTCTAATATATCTTCATTTTTATCAATTTGATATATTTCTGTATACTCCATCCATTTCAAACAATTGATTTTTCTTTCAATTTCCTTTTTGGGTCCCAGATAGAGAGTTTGGTTTTAAATATCAATTTACATTTTAAGTAATGTAAGTGAAGTACTCCAAAACAATCTTTAAATAAGTTTTAGGGGTATAACTGTATAAGTGATGACTCATAATTTCTTAAAGTTTGTACCTTGATTGAGTTGACTTGGGGACTTGGGGGTGTGTGTGTGGGGGGGGGGGGGGGGTAAATACTTCTAGGTCTTAATGGAATGGTTCCTTGAGCTTAGCCTTGTCATTCCATACACACCTGAATATTATATTGCGGAGAACCATCCTGGATTGAACACCCCTATTGGGTTAATTCCCACTTCATTTTGACATTTTCTTATGAAAAGTTATTGCTTCAATATACTAAAGAAAGTGACTTATGGCCAAGTGCATTGAGATTGAATCTGTGAATTTTGATTTGCTATCCTCTATTTTCTTAATTATCAATTATGTATTTAACTCAATCCACATCTTGTAGGTTTTAGGAAAAGCTTTGGGGATTCCTGAGAATAGTGTGAGGACATTCACGGAAGCTGAAATTCGTGCTGGGTATAATTGCATACAGCTTTTCTTTCATATCCATTAGTTGCTAATGCCTGAAGTTTGCTCACTTTGACTATTACTTGATGATCATCATAAGAGAAATACTATTAAAAGCTAAGTTCTTATAGCATGTTTGTGTTCAGAGTGGTTTTTCAGGTTTCGAAGTTGTGTACACTACTTCTAAAGTCTACTAGAAGAACACTTGGGTCCCATGGGTGGGATGTCCTCATTCCAGGAGATTCGTATGGAAAGTTATTACAGGTGTCTGCTGCATATTGTTAACTGTACTACTGCATATTCCTGTGTTGAACACATAATCCTAGATAATAATTGCTTCATTATAAAATTGGTTAATGTATCATATGTGTGAGGCTTAAGGATAGATGCAAATTAAACTGTGATAATGAATCAAATAGGCTTAACTAGTTTGTTTCGTTTGTATACTTTATGATTAATTGATTATTATTTCTGTAGATGGATGTGATGAATTACATGTACATGCGTGTGTGATAATATTTCAATCAAGCTTTACAAGTATAGGTCTATTATGTGTATATCAAAAATGATTTGAAAAAGGATTACCAATATTAAATGAAAGCATCATCAATAGTAAGGAGTATATTATGAAATATTACTTTATTTCACCAAGTTTGTAGCCTGTTGTACAAGTGTATAATATTATCAAACGGTCAAGCCTGTGTTACCATATATAAGATGGTGAAAATATTTCTGCCTTGCCAACTTGCTTCACCAAATTCTGATTACAGTATATTATATTAATTTTCTTTTGTTTGTTCATCAGAAATGTATTCGACGGTTGGTAACTGAATAGTTCAATTTCAGGTGGATAGAATTGTCCCAGGTTCACTGCCATCATCTGTAACTGGACCTGTTATTCTTGTGGTGAACAGGGCTGACGGGGATGAAGAGGTTGCTAGTGTCTATCTGCTTTTTCAAAAGATACTACACTTAATTTATGCACAATTTTGCCAGAATAATTGTACTACTCAACAGCGATACGCTGAATGGCAACTTTAAGTCTTCTTCCAGGTATCAGCTGCTGGGAGTAACATAGCTGGCATCGTACTTCTCCAAGAGCTTCCTCATTTATCTCATCTAGGAGTTAGGGCCCGTCAGGCAAGTGTTTTTTATCCTACCGTATTCTCTTCCCTAGAAGTTGATTTGCTTTTGTGTAACCTTTGTTTATTTGTCGTGTGCAGGAAAAGGTTGTATTTGTGACTTGTGAAGATGATGATGAGGTCACAAATTTACAAGGACTGATTGGAACATATGTCAGGTTATATGCTTTACAAGATAATACTGTTTTGTTTTTGCGTCTTTTTGTTCTAAATTTATTTCAACTTTATTTCCACTTAATTTTGCAGGCTACAAGCATCATCAGCAAGTGTGAAGTTAACCCCAATTTCACAAGAGAACAGTAGCAGTGTCCTTCCTGTGGGAATTTCCACAGAAAATTCCTTGAAAAATGTGGCTACCGCAGAAAAAAGAACTTCCCAAGTTACTACCAGTTTTCTGAGACAGGTAGGCATATCTTTTGTTGCTAATTATTTTATAGAATCAAAATGCTTATTGAGTATCTCATGTCGGTTGTCTAATGGATTTGACTCTATGATTTAAGTGTGATGTAAACCTTATCTTTTGAGGATCCTTTTGGGGTTTTATCCACCCACTCCATTATAATTGGACAGCCCCTTTGGGGTCAATTTGAACTGGGGATGTTGAGTATCCCACATCAGCTATCTGCTCTACTTGAGTCTAGTATTTATGCATGAGATAAACCTAACCTCTGAAGAGATCCCTCCAGAATGAGTTAGACCCAATAACAAAGTAGTTCGCATATATAATTAACTGATCTTCTGGCTTGCCACCTCATTTCTTTACATGCTACCTTCAATTAACAAGCTGATACAACTTGTACTTCCGTTCAGGTTGCATCTTCTAAAGGTGTTGTGCCACTTGCTGATGCAGATTTACAAAATTCTGGGGCAAAAGCTGCTGCCTGCGCTCATTTGGCCTCACTATCGATGAGTTCTCAGAAAGGTGATTTAGTTTTACAAATGAATACTTATTAGACATGAATGGGCGATGGAATGTAAGAATGTACAATGCTTGTGAGTTGTGACTATATATATCATAATTGTTGTAGCTGCATTTTCAATGATTGCATTGGGTTTTTAGGTGGGTGGCTGTTGCTTACCTTCTTTCACCCTTCTATTACGGTTTTGTTTATCTTTTCCTTGGGAAGTAAAGGGAAATTTGGTGTTCCATGCATAGTTGCATTAGATTTATACTTCCTCCATCTTTGGGGACTCTTAATTTACTATTTGACGTCTTTATGATTTCAATCTGATTCTACAATACCAATCTTGGAATGAGACATGATTATCACAAATATCCCAACTTATTGCCATCTCATGATATTTCCAATGCAAGTGGGAATCACCTATTCATCTCATAATCTCTTCTTAAGAAAATTGCGGCAGGAATGCTGGAAGAGCATCTGGCATAAATTTGCGCCATTTTTTGCATGAGGTTGTATTGCTACCTAATTTGCATTATAGACTTCATATTACCGACCCCAATTTGTTGGGATTAAGGTGGTGATGAACCAATTGAGGGTCCCATGGTACCATTATTGGGACTAAAGGGAGTGATGTGGTTTTTAAGAAAAGTAGAATTATGTGGTTGATAATGAGTTGATAAAGTGGGAATAAAGTAAGAATGAATTAGAGCCACACAAATGTTACCAAATATGGTATGGGACAATAATAGGGGGACATCCAAAAATGGAAAAATGGGACAATTATAAGGGACGGAGGGAGTATTAGTTATTACTTCAGAGTAGTTGACTGTTAATTTTTCCTTTTATATTAAGGGAAAATGGAAACTAATAATCCAACCTTTTAGCGGTCTTCTTTCAATAATCCCATCTTTTGATTATTCATGAATAATCCAACCTTTGCACCTCATCTTCATTCACTGGTCCCTGACCGGTTGATGGCCTGCTATTCCAAGCTATTTTCTTATCTTTGCAAATCATTATACCATAGATCTCATCTTTCACAAAGATAATATTTTGGAAAGATAAGAAAATAACTTGGAATAGTAGCTCATTAACCGACCAAGGACCAATGAATGAAGATGGGGTGCAAAGGTTGGATTATTCATGAATAATCAAAAGGTGGGATTATTGAAAGAAGACCGCTAAAAGGTTGGATTATTAGTTTCCATTTTCCCTTATATTAATTGTATTTTGATTATTGAATTGGAAACTCAAAATAAAAAAGAATAGACACCTTTGCCCCGGTTGAGCATTATAAGGTGATAATAACCTATGAGTTAAGCCATCAAAGACGTACTACCAAGCTATGAATTAGGCACTTAACTTTCATGAAGTTTTTTTGTTTGTTTTAGCTTTGCATTGCCTCATCATCATCATCATCATCATCATCATCACCCCAGTGCCGCAGAGGCTCCCACCTACGGTGGGGTAAGGAGGGGTCGGATGTACGCAGTCTTACCCCTGTACTAAAGCACAGTTAGACTGTTTCCGAATGACCCGTAGTGAATATCGCATCGAAAATTGCATAGACTGACAATTACTTCATAACAAAGAAGCGCAGACAGTTTAGTGAGCCATTTTTAGTTGCTTTGCATTGCCTTTTCCACAAAATTGTGTCTTCATTCGGACACTCATAGTAATTTATGACTCCATATCTGTGTAGTTTTGTTATTGAAAGTGGTTATTTTTCATGATAAATAAGCATAGTCTTATCAGTATAAAAGAATCATATCGTGTGTTTATATTTTCTTTGTTATTTCCTGAAACATGTTATATATATTTTAATTTTAGAAAAATATTGTATTTGAATTAAACAAATGTGTATCGTAGCATAAAAATAGTGATTGGTTAAATTCAGGGTTGAGTTAATTTTGATAAATCACTAAATATTTATACAATTGTATCGAAAATATTTTAAAGTCTTAAATACAGGATTTATTAATGTTTTTTTCTTATCCATCTCCCTGAATGGCAGTTTATAGCGATCAAGGGGTCCCTGCTACCTTCAAAACGCCTAATGGAGCTGTTATACCTTTTGGGTCTATGGAGATGGCCCTTGAAGAAAGCCAGTCTATGGAAGCCTTCAGGTCTCTTGTGGAACAGATAGAAACCGCTCAAGTTGAGGAACTTGATAGACTCTGTAATGAGCTCCAAGAGTTGGTATCATCTCTAAAGCCTGCAGCAAGCATCATTGAAACCTTGGGAAGAATGTTTCCTGGGAACACGCGGCTGATTGTACGGTCAAGTGCCAATGTTGAGGACCTGGCTGGGATGTCAGCCGCCGGTCTATATGAATCAATCCCCAATGTCAGTCCTTCAAATCCAATAGTGTTTGGGAATTGTATAGCCCGTGTTTGGGCATCGCTTTACACTCGCAGAGCAGTCTTGAGTCGCAGAGCTGCTGGTGTTCCCCAAAAGGACGCTACAATGGCTGTGCTGGTTCAAGAAATGCTTTCTCCCGAACTTTCCTTTGTGCTCCACACCCTAAGCCCGACTGACCATGACAGCAATTCTGTCGAGTCCGAAATTGCGTCCGGGCTGGGTGAAACTCTTGCATCGGGCACAAGGGGTACACCCTGGCGCCTTTGTAGTGGAAAATTTGATGCAACGGTCCGGACATTGGCATTTGCCAATTTCAGTGAGGAGCTGGTGGTACGTGGCTCAGGCCCAGCTGATGGAGAAGTCATTCGTCTGACTGTGGATTACAGCAAAAAGCCGTTGACGGTGGACCCCATCTTCAGGCGTCAACTTGGGCAGCAACTTGGAACGGTTGGTTTCTTCCTGGAGAGCAAGTTTGGGTGTCCTCAAGATGTTGAAGGGTGTTTGGTAGGAAAAGACATTTACATTGTGCAGTCTCGCCCTCAACCACTCTAAGAAGAGCTTTTTATGGTTTCTTCTTTCACTGTGCTTGAGTTTTTTTTCTCTATTTGCGCGTTGTTGTTTTCTGTGTATTTTATTGTGACTTGCGCGGTTCCTTAAAGCTGGGGTGTATCATTGTATGAGTGTATACTGTATAATTTTCTCAAGTTTTTGGTACTTGAACAATTATCCCATTATGCCTGTTCATGTTCATGTTAATAAAGAGCATTTGATGTGTTACTGCATGTATTGTAATTGACTGATATATGAATCAAGTTAGGACAGGGGAAAGGGTCTTATAAGTTACTACCTCCGTCCCATAATGGTTGTCCCATAATAAAGTAGTTGAAAAGTAAAAGTTGTGGTTAAGATTTGAGTAGAATAAAGTGAATTGATAAGAATCACAGATCCATCCAAAAAAGGAAAGAAGACATTCATTTTGGGACAACCCAAAAAGGAAAGTAGGACAACCAAAATGGGACGGAGGAAGTCATTGAATTATTTGAGTATTGCAATTCAAATTTCTTTATCATTATGTTCCAAAATGTCTGATGTAGGTATTTTTCCAAAATATACATTTGGATAATTTTCAAAATATTATTAAAATAATATTCAGGGATGAAATAATAATTAAAAGATCAGTCACGGTTAACACCACCCAATTGGTTAAATATTGTCATTACGTATTTGTCAATTGTCATCATTTCTACTCCTTTGGTCTCATACTCCGTATTTTAATTTTCCAACTTTTATTTTTCATTCTTGAATAAATTCCACTTTTGGTCCTACAAGTTTGATGTCAATTCCACATTTAGTTCAAGTCTTTCACTTTGTCCACTTTTGATACATGAGTATTGTGTTTTCACCCATATATGGTCCGTTTCCGGAGATTAAAATCACCCGAAAAGGACCACAAATGGTCAAATAACAATAGTCAAAGTATCAAAAGTGGACAAAGTAAAAGACGTGAACTAAATGTAGAATTGACATTAAACTCGTAGGACCAAAAGTGGAATTTATTCTTCATTCTTTCCAAAATGATCTCCTTTTTCTCTTGTCCTCAAAGGATTTGTGATTAATATCATTTCTCTCTCTTTTGTACGATTCTAGGTATAATTCTCACTTTCTTAATCTATCTGAAAAGAAACTTAGGAAGATTATTTAGGGAAGGAGGGAGTATTTCTTAATGACTTTTTAATGGTTATTCAATACTCATAGAATGATTTGTCCTTTTGTTTCAGCCACACATGTAGTGTAGTAGATTATCCGCAAACAAAAATTCTTTATCCTGATTCATCCACAACCTCCTACGCCCCAATTCTTATGTGATGGATAGAATGCAATTCTCGACGTTCTGAGTCTCTCTTTGCGTTCTGTGCCTATGACTAGCATAACCACTACTACCTCAACCTTATCCTTTTCATGTTCTACTAAAGTGAACATCTTTCCCATTTCTATCCCTTTTCGCTCAAGAATTCATGTGCCCCGGAAAGGAATCTTAACATCTATTATCACTCTTAACCGGAAGTTGCCTAAACAAAATGGGTCAAGTTTTGGTATATTCAGTTCACTCAAGGACTCTTCTGTAGAAGATGCCCCAAACATCAGTCCATCCCAGATTCAGGTCAAAACCAGGTAAATATGATTGGTTCATCCATGCTGTGCTCACTATGGTGTATCTCAGCATGCGCTATGCATTGAGTTAAGTTGGATACTTTTATGTAGCTTCTGCAATTTTGCACTTATTATATGGTGAAAGCTGTACAGTTGAGTTGATTATGTTGTTGAAGAAATGAAGAGCTCATAGCACTTCCTATTTTCCTACCACTGGCTTGCTCTATAAAAGGGTGGTGCCATTTTATTAGCTAGGTTCTTGATTATGGTTAAGTCATCTCACATAGACCAAAAAAAAAAATTAAATTTGTATATAAGTTTTAACTTTTCTTTCTATTAATTTAAACTTTTAGGATAGAACAGGTCATTTTTTTATATATAATTTGAAAATCTCTTATGCTCCCACGAGCAATTCAATTATCATAAGTCGCAACAATGTATACACAAAGTTTAAGATTGGTATGCTCAAACGAGTCACCATATCATCTAGGCCAAACAAAATAAATTCTCACATAGTCACATATAAGATATTTAAGTATCTCCTTATCATGGTAGACCTTTTGCGTGGACCCAATTCGTAATAGATTCGTGTGTTGCAAATTGGTAGAATTTTATTATTGCTGCCATATGAAATTTCGTGTTCTTGTCCAGTTGGCTATCATAATGATCTATTCATCAATTCTATCCTGTAAGAAAATGTGAGAATGGAACCCATTAATTTAATCTTGGAGGTGCTGATTCTAAATTTTTTATACAGAACGTTTCCAGAAGTGATAAAAGAAGAAAACACAATAGCATAATACCAATAGGATAGCTCCAAAGTCATCCTCTTTTCAATTTAGAGTAGTGAGTTTAATGAGCAGAATCTTAAGGAGGCGAGAGCTAGCCCTAGTCCAGGGATGCGTTCAAGAGATTAATCAGGAAAGAGAAAAAGAACCAGTAGAATTAAATGAAGCTATTCTTATTGTTAAATTAATCGGCACCCAACCTTGTCAAGACGCACAAATTAATTCTCCAAAAACAAGAATTAGGAAACAATATCCTTGTTTCCCAGTTCAGCCATAATGCCATATTAACTAACTAGAATAAGGAAGTATACTAGTATTAGGAAACTATATTTTTAGTGTTTGATTACTTTGAGTAAACCAATAAGAAATTTATCTGAATCTTTGAATGTACTTTATCTTTTACCTAGCTTAGAAATAAAAGAAGTGAAAACTCTACCCTTTGTGCGTCGTTTATAAGTGTGGCCCCAAAAGGAGTCCATAACACTGAGATTCACTAATTGGTTGAGAAATAGAAATGGTTATTGTTATATTTCTAGGTAAAATTCTCATAAACGGGTGCTGTAAACAGCTGGAAAAGCTCCCTATCGTGTTTGTTTTGTGTTTGAAGAGCCAAAAATTGCAGAAAACTGAAAGACTAGAGTTTTTGAGGGTCTTTTTCTTCTTAGGTTTCTTTGTTATACTTGCAGGCTTTTTCTTGGAGAAAAATGCTCCTTACATAGAAGAAGGCACAACTATTACGGCCAACTAAAATGGAGAGAAAATAAAAAGCCCAACACTAACAAAACTAATTCAATCATCCAATCTTTTAAAAAGGAAAGGAAGTAATGGACATACTACTAAAATTAACCAACTATCAAAGTAAAATAAGAACAAATCAGCCAACTCTAAATGTTTCCTTCCAATAGAATTCCGTGCTAGGTTTGGTCACTCAACAATCTATGGAACTTGGACTAAACCACAATAAAAGGTTCATTCCAATCTATTAGCTAGTTAAAACATCATTTTATCTTTACTTGTTCGAGGTGGGACTCAAACACTGGTTATTGGAAGTTTAAAACATATCTGCATTGTTTTGCAGTGTGTGGAAGTGGAAAGGTCACTCGATCCGCTATCAATATTCTGGGAGCACTGGTCCAGCTCTTGTTTTACTCCACGGTTTTGGAGCAAACAGGTCAACATTGCTTCTAGTAAACTGTTTGATATAGGTATTAATGGCAAAAAGTGCAATGTTTGCATGATATTTCCTTTTCCTTCCATCCATGCTATCCTTTTTCAAGAATTCCATTCTTTACATTCCCTAATCCATCGTGTGCTAATATTTTCCATGAAATGGGTTTATAAATGCCTTTATGTCTTTGGTGATAAAATCAAATTATTTTCCTACTACGAGTTTGAAGTTCGGGACTTAAATGGAAGGGTAAACGAATTCAATGCATTGCCTATTTAACAGAGATTCAGAGTTTTTCCAGTTTTTCTTTCCTGAAACCTTGTAAGTTAGGTATATAAGTATATTCTCATCTCACTAGCTAGTCAAGTTAGTATCTTCTTGCTAGTTGCTTGGCTTGACCTAAAAACACTTTTTTTGGATACTCATGCATGTGACTCTGCTGTGAAACCTGTAAATGTTGTAAGCCTGGACTATTATTTCCTTCTATCAACACTCAAATATATTGTGTGTTTTACACCTTTACTCCTTTGAATATTGTGACAATGATGCTTTTGGTATATATTTCTTTGAAAATTTTCATTTTAGTCCCTGCACTACTGTGAGTCTGTGACTTGAGAAATTTTTATTACCCATTTTTTAAGTATTCCACTTTGAGTCATCTATCTATTGTGATCGTTACACTTTTGGTCCTCCAACTCTTTTCTCCATGGCAATTTTATTCCTCTAGCTATTATGACAGAATCACAGAACTCAAAGATGAATACAAAAAGTGTCATTTTCACAATATTCAAAAGACTAAAAATGGAAAAGTTTAAAGACGGATACCAAAAGTGTTTTCTTCATAATAGTCAGAATATTAAAAGTGGAAATGTTTGAAAGTAGGTATCAAAAGTGTAAATTACACAATAGTGGGAGGACTAAAAGCGGAAAAAAATAACTATGGTGTGTGTATTCTAATAATTTATGCTACTCAAGTTGTAATATGATATGTGCCACATGCACGCACAATTTTTAGTACAGGTTGAAATGTGGGTTTCAATTTGTCTATGACTCTTCATTTTGATCCCCTCATTTCTTCATTGCCAATTTATGGTGTTCAAATTAGCATTTTAGTTAGCTTGTATTCAACAGTGACCATTGGAGGAAAAACCTTCCTGTTCTAGCACAAGCACACCGAGTGTTCTCTATTGATCTTATTGGTTATGGTTACTCAGACAAACCAAATCCGTGTGAATTTGTTGATCCTTTCTACACCTTTGAGACATGGGCTAGCCAGCTTAATGACTTCTGCAATGATGTTGTCAGTGACAAAGCCTTCTTTATCTGCAACTCCATTGGAGGTATCCTCCTTCTTGACTATTTTTTTTTTGGAATGCTCCTTGACTATTTAGATAACATTTTCTCAAAAAAGGAAATGTCAGTCTCCTTTTTTGTGTAAAATTGAACTTTTCCCCTCTTTTGTGCATCCAAACTTGTACCTTTCAAGAAATAATTATTGCTCATTCTGTTTTGACCTCTCCTCCATCATCATCATCATCATTACCCCAGTGCTACAAAGGCTCCCACCTACGGTGGGGTAATGATAGAACTACACAATATTTCAACAGTAATTCTACAAGAATCTGCTCAAACAAGAGGAAAGAATGCAAGAACAATCAATCAACCATATACTGAAAAGTAAACGTTCAGTACAGAGTCCCAAAAGTAGAGATAAAACTCTACTTCCCAGCCAAGACAACTCGTCTCCAAAAATACAGCCTACTCCCATCCTCTCAGTTTATTCTATTTATAGTTAGACTATATAACCGTAAGTGGTTATAAGCAGCTTAACGAAATAACAACTAACTACTTTCTTCTTCTAGAATAAACTTGGCTATAGTATTTATCTTGTTTATTAAACTGGCCCGGTTCTCTATCAATACTCCCCTGCTGAAGATCAAGCTTGTCCTCAAGCTGGAAGTAGGGAAACTGCTTCTTCATCATCTGCACTTCTTCCCAAGATCTCTCGAACTCTGGCAAATCCTTCCACTGTATTAGTACCTCAACAATGCCATTCTTCTTTCTGACATCCACCACTCTTTCTGGTATGACCTGTAACTCCCAGCTTTCATTCAAGCACAATGGTAGAGGTTGACAGGTAGTGTTGGGAGATAATGCTTTTTTTAGAAGAGAAATATGGAACACCGGATGTATCAAACTGTGATCTGGTAACTTTAGTTTGAAGACAACATCGCTCAACTTGTCAATGATCTCAAAGGGTCCATAAAACCTGGGGCTGAGTTTTTGATTCAATCTCCTGGCTATACTCTTCAACTTGTAAGGCTGGATTTTCAGAAAAACTAGATCCCCTTTCTCCAATTTTACTTCCCTTCTATGCTTATTGGCTTGTTGTTTCATTCTGTTTTGAGCCACTGCTAGATTGTCTTTTAATTCAGCCAGCATTTCATTTCTTTCAGCAGTTAGCCTTGCCACTTCCTCTACTGCAGTAAGAGTAACATCACCTCTGATAATGGCTGGTGGTTCTTGCCCATACAGGGCCTGATATGGAGTTTGTTTCAAGGATATGTGATAATTGGTATTGTACCAATATTCAGCCCATGGAAGCCATTTAACCCAATCCCTAGGCTTCTTCCCTGTAAGGCATCTTAGATATGTCTCTAGACACCTATTCACCACCTCAGTTTGTCCATCGGACTGAGGGTGATAAGCTGTACTAAATTTCAATTGAGTACCGGCCAACTTGAATAACTCTGACCAGAATAAACTCAAAAATATGCTATCCCTGTCACTCACTATGGACCTAGGAAATCCATGGAGTTTGACCACCTCTTTGATGAAAACTTCAGCTACACTCTTAGCATTGTATGGATGAGTTAGAGCTATAAAATGTGCAAATTTGGTGAGCCTATCTACCACCACCAATACAGTATCCCTCCCTTGGCTTTTAGGCAACCCACCAATAAAATCCATACTTATTTCAGTCCAAACATGCTCCGGTATGGGTAGAGGCTGTAATAACCCTGCAGGTTTCAGTGCTTGATACTTGTTCCTCTGGCAAGTATCACAAGCTTGCACATATTGTTGTATATCTTTCCTCATTCCCTTCCAATAAAAGAGTGATGAAATCCTTTTCATAGTTCTGAAATTTCCCGAGTGCCCTCCTGTAGCTGAATCATGATATTCCTGCAAGATTTTTTTGACTCTGGAAGAACCCTTAGGTATCATCAATCTGCCTTTATAGTATAGCAACCCTTTTTTCAGTTTAAACTCAGATATCCTATCAGGCTCACTGAATATCCTCTGCATGATCTCATAACACTCAGGATCTGCCATAATCTCATCTTCTAAACCCTCCCATTCCTGGCATTGTACTATTGATAATGCTGTCAGGCTAGGTTTTCTCGACAGGGCATCGGCAGCTTTATTCTCACATCCTGGTTTATACCTGATGGAAAAACTGTAGCCCATGAGTTTAGCTACCCATCTTTGTTGATCATCTCCCATGATTTTCTGCTCAGTTAAATACTTTAGACTCCTCTGGTCAGTGTGAACTTCAAAATGTCTTCCAAGTAAGTAGGGCCTCCATTTTTGAATGGCAAACACAATGGCCATTAATTCTTTTTCATAAACAGATTTAGTCAGCTGCTTGGTTGATAATGTCTTGCTCATGTATGCTATGGGGCCTCCTTCTTGCATTAAGACAGCCCCTAACCCTTTACCAGAAGCATCAGTTTCAATGATGAATGTTTTGTTGAAGTCAGGAATTCTGAGGACTGGTAAGGATGTCATAGCATTCTTCAGCTCATCAAAAGCTCTGTCAGCATTCTTATCCCAATTGAACCCATCCTTCTTTAATAGGTTAGTGAGTGGTGCAGCTATTTTACTGTAATTCCTCACAAACCTTCTATAGTAGCCTGTCAAACCTAAGAATCCCCTCAATTCCTTTAAGTTTTTAGGCCTTATCCAGCTCTTCATTGCCTCAATTTTGCTTGGATCAGCTGCTACCCCTTTTTCAGAAATAATATGGCCCAGATAGCTCAGTTTTTCTTGGCCAAAATTACATTTTTTTTTGTTAGCTACCAGCTGATTACTTCTCAAAGCATCCAAAACCTTCCTTAAATGTTCTTTATGATCTTCCCTAGTTTCACTATAAACCAGGATATCATCAAAAAACACAAGTGCAAACTTTCTTAAAAAAGGCCTCAATACCTCATTCATAAGAGCCTGGAATGTGGAAGGAGCATTAGTAAGCCCAAAAGGCATGACCAGGTACTCGTAGTGTCCTTCGTGTGTTCTGAAGGCAGTCTTTTGAGTGTCAGTAGCCTTCATCCTGATCTGGTGGTACCCTGATTTGAGGTCCAGCTTAGAAAAAACCTTGGCATTCCCTAATTCATCAAGCAGTTCCTCTATAACTGGGATTGGGAATTTGTCTGGTATGGTTATCTTATTTAAGGCCCGGTAATCCCCGCAAAACCTCCAGCTTCCATCTTTCTTTTTGGCCAAAATAATAGGGCTGCTATAAGGGCTGTGGCTGTGTTTAATGATTCCAGCATTTAACATTTCACCAATGACTTTCTCAATTTCATTTTTTTGATCAAATGAATACCTATAAGGCCTTAAATTTGGTATGGTTGCTCCTTCCTTGATATTTATAGCATGATCACAACTTCTTTCAGGAGGAAAGTGCAGCTGAGTTGTAAAAACTTCTGGAAATTCTGCAATAATGTCTTCCCATTCTTTTTCTTCTTGTCCACCTTGCTCCCCTGTATTCCTCTGCCCTTCATAATGCATTAAGTAACCATCCCCAGTTTGTTGTAAAATGTGTATCATGGTTTTCAAGGGTACCTCAAGTTGGTTCAAAACTGCTTCTCCTTTTATTATATGGTTCTGTCCTTGCTGATTCCACTTAATCACCTGATTCAGAAAGTTTACCTCCATATCACCCAGTTTAGTAAGCCACTCCATTCCCAAAACCATATCTGTCCCCCCTAACTCCAACAGGTAGTAGGTTTGGTGAATAACATTTCCTTGAACCTCCAATTCCATATCGTAGCACCTGCCCTTATTAGGAATGTAATTCCCATTTCCTATCTGAACTTTATACCCCTGAGTAGGAACATAAGGAATCTTCCACTGATCCACTAATTTCTGTGCTAGGAAATTGTGAGTAGCACCACAATCGATCAGAATATTGACAGTTGTTTCTCCTCCTTTCCACTTCAACATTCCCTTTACTCTGAAAGTTTTCATTGAAGGAATACCCTCCTTACTTAGAATGGATAACTGCATAGTTTTAAGCTGCTTTGAATTATCTCCCTCATCTTCTGACTTCAGATCCTCCTGTTCAGATTCATTTTCTCCTTCTGATTGCTCTACCAAAATCATCTTGTAATTCCTCATCTTGCAAATATGTCCTTTCCCCCATTGCTCACCACACTTAAAACATAAGCCTCTTCTGCTTCTATCAAGTAACTCATTCTTGGATAATCTAGGGCCTTCTTTCTTCACAGTCTGATTTTTTTCCTCAGAATTGAATCTATTTTCTCCAGGTGTTTTGTTCATATTTGCTGAATTAGTGGGATAACTTCTCCACCTGCTATTATCTCCCCAGTTCTGGATTGGACTCATCTGATTGTTTTTACTCAATCCCTTCTTCCTTCCTTCTTCCCTGTTCTTGATATACAAAGATTCAATGTTCTTATTCTCGATAAGAATAGCAACATCCATGACCTTTGCCAATGATCTTGCAGAGTATAACTTCAATTCAGCTTTGATGTCTCTTCTCAATCCCTTGAGAAAAATTCCTCTCAACACCTCTTCAGTCAGGTGACTTTGAGAAGCTATGGCAGTCTCAAACTGATCTCTATATTCCTGTACAGAGCCCTTCTGTTTCAGATTGAATAAGGGTCCTAAAGGATCCTGCACCATATCTGGTTGAAATCTTTTTGACAAAGCCTCAGTGAAAGTACCCCAGTTTTGCTGTTGAGCCTGCCCTTCCCACCATTGGAACCAACTTAGAGCTTGATCTTCTAGGGCCACGACCGCAACATCAATCTTATCTTCTTCATCCGTTCGGTTCAATCGAAAATACCTGTTCATCCTTACCAACCAGCCGAAAACATCTTTTCCATTGAAAATCGGTAGGTCAATCTTCCTTCCTACCGGCTGATGGCGCTTGTGATGTTTGTGTAGATCGCGATTGATAGGCGATACGGAATGATCAGAGTTATGGTCTGATTCTTCAGAATTATCGCTGTGCTTCGTATGACGATGGCGAGCAGTGTGATGCGAACTAGTGGAGTGATGCGATCGACTCCTCGATCGATCGGGTCGCTTGCTCTGCAAATCAGCGATGCCCGCCTGCATCGCGGTCATCATCGCAACCATAGTATCAAATTTCGTCTCCATGTCGTTCATTCGCCCCTCCATTTTCTTTTTACGCGTTCCAACCATTCACAGAATCAACGGCTCTGATACCAATTGATAGAACTACACAATATTTCAACAGTAATTCTACAAGAATCTGCTCAAACAAGAGGAAAGAATGCAAGAACAATCAATCAACCATATACTGAAAAGTAAACGTTCAGTACAGAGTCCCAAAAGTAGAGATAAAACTCTACTTCCCAGCCAAGACAACTCGTCTCCAAAAATACAGCCTACTCCCATCCTCTCAGTTTATTCTATTTATAGTTAGACTATATAACCGTAAGTGGTTATAAGCAGCTTAACGAAATAACAACTAACTACTTTCTTCTTCTAGAATAAACTTGGCTATAGTATTTATCTTGTTTATTAAACTGGCCCGGTTCTCTATCAGGTAAGGGGGGGTCGGATGTACGCAGCTTTGACCCCTAAACGGTTTAATTCCATTTATTGTTCAAATAATGTCAAAATTGTTGTTAAAATCTTATCCTACCCAATTAACAATTTCAGGCTCAACATAAGATACAATAAAGAGATCGTTAATTTCGCATCTAATACACTTTGTCTCAGTAAACCTTGTCTTAGAGTGTTAGACAACTAGGGTCAAATTTTCCTAAGTATCTGGTGACCCAACCAAATTCACATTCTTCATACTTTTAAGACATAATAAAGAGAATTGAATGATCAAATTGTCATTTAACATCCCCTGATTGTAATTTCATTATTTGTGGCATTTAAAAGTTTTAAATCCTTTTTTGGTCAAATTTGGTCAAACATTTTTTGACTTGCTTAGTATCATAGCTGAGGTTATATTTAATATCGTGTATATTCAGGGATTGTTGGTCTTCAAGCTGCAGTGTTGGAACCTGGTATATGTAAAGGTGTTGTTGTTTTAAATATATCCCTCCGTATGCTGCATGTAAAGAAGCAACCTTGGTATGGAAGGCCGTTCATTAGATCCTTCCAGAGCTTGCTGAGGTATGAATTACCTTCATGTTTCCCTTTTCGGCTAACTCACCAAAAAAGAATCTGCAGTTCATGAGATTTAATAGACTGGAACACGGCTCTCCTCTTAAAAATGTGCTGTGAAAGAAGTGTTTCGTTTCTCCTTGAATTTTTACAAAACACTTCCCTTCAGGAATACAGAAATTGGCAAACTCTTCTTTAAAGCTGTTGCCACACCCAAATCAGTGAGAAGTATCCTTTGTCAGGTTAGGAATTATGAGACTGTTAGATATTGTGTTGCTCTTAGCTGTTAAGGTTAAAATATGTTAATGATCAGTTTTAGGTTATTTAGAGCTATTCATTCTATTCAACTATTCAAGTTAATGCATATAGGACAATTCTGGAATGTCAGAATCTCAATCTGGAAGCAATGCTTCAGGATCTCTATAGCCGCATTATTTTCAGGCTTTCAAATGACTAGTGATATGCATAATTGCATATGCATTACATACATTTGGAATTTCATCCCGTAAGAGTTTAAGGTCATAAACAGTAATACATATAACCTAAGGTTGTTATACTAGTGTGTTACTTCAAAATTAACTGATACTAGACACATTCTTTAACTGCCACTTATGTTCCTTTCCTTTTGATCTTGGGAATCTAACTAAGCAATGATCTAATGCATGTATATTGCAGTGCTACCATGACACATCCCAGGTGACGAATGAGTTAGTAGAAGCCATCCTTCGTCCAGGACTTGAGCCTGGTGCTGCAGATGTCTTTCTTGAGTTCATATGCTACTCTGGAGGGCCTCTTGCTGAAGAACTACTGCCTCAAGTAAAGGTAAACATAGTTTCTTACTTCTGATATACTTCATTCACCAAAGAGATGGAGGTACTTAAGTGTTGACTCTCTACAATTCTTACAGTGCCCTGTTTTAGTCGCTTGGGGAGACAAGGATCCATGGGAGCCATTAGAGCTTGGAAGAGCATACAGTAAATTTAATACAGTTGAAGATTTCGTTGTCCTCCCTGATGTTGGCCACTGTCCTCAGGTTCTCTGTCTCTCCTCAAGCATCTGACTTCTTAGTGATGTAGTAGTGCTCATTGGTGGAAATGGTTGGAATCCTACAAGTATGATTACAATCATACTTATAGTAATCATGTTAATTTTAAACACTGCCAACAAGACTGAAAACGACATTTTGTGGTTTTATTTAAAAACAAACAGAAGTTATACCTAACAAAATCTTAGTTAGCGGATTGGGTTCAATCTATCTATGTGTTTTATCTCAAGTGCAGCATCATGTCCAACCCAGTGCTGAATTCTATTTGGGAAAAATGGAGGATGACATTTATTTCATTTATACATCTTTGTGTTCCTCAACTCACAACTTTGTTATATTGTATGGAAAGTATGCAACTGTAAAAGAAACTCCTCCAGAGTTAGAAATGGTTTGTTGATGGATATAATGGTGTTTCTACTCTTGTAGGATGAGGCTCCCCATCTTGTAAACCCGCTAGTTGAGAGTTTTGTGTCCCGTCATGCTGCAAGTTAAGAGTCAAGATCAAAGAAAAGAAGAAATCCTTGATTAATGTTTGTGCAAGTCTTGCCATGCCTTCTGCTTCAAGCATTATGTGTGCAAACAGGGAGAATTCCCCAATTGTGCATGTCTCTCACTGTAGTTGAAGTTACATTGTCCTTCCTGTATGTTACCAAATTAAATGTTAATGAAACACAGTGATGAATGTAAAAACATATTCAATCTTGAATCAGTTATCAGATATCAAACTGATTCCCACTTTTTAAAAGTTATATTTTCCATGAGTAACTATGCACCTAGTTACTAGCAAATAAAAGACCGGTGCTTGTGGTTATTTTTAACAAATATAACGCCATACTGCCATAGTAATTAGGTGAAAAAATGTGGCAGTTCGGCACTGTTAGATGAATAACATAAACCATGCCAACCAGGTGGACGATAATATGCAATTATGCATGCTTGCAATCCATGATACATCGTATATAAATTGAATTGAGTTATTGAGTAAGAAACCATTCAATAGTTATTTCACTAATATCTAAAACCGGGAGAGTAGCTCACCCTATGAGAAGAGGGTATCACATGGGAGCAGTGGGAAGAGGGTATCACATGGGAGCAGTAGAGGGCCTGGGGGTCCTAGGGGGGAAATTGGAAAGTGCACCCGCTTTCGACCCCAAAGTTTAATATTAGTACTTAAGCTAAAAATTGTGCCCCTGCTACCCACACATTAAAATTAGAAGTTTCTCCATAAATATTATCGAAATATAACTAATGGACAAAAATATTACTATAGTTATTATGCATAGTTTGATAGTGTTGAACACAATCATGCTCACTATAATTACTAAGGTAGTTACCATCATATTTTTGTCCACTATCTTTATTTCAATCAGATTGTCAATATTTCAAAGAAGTATTAGATATATAGGTCTCCATCGAAGACATATAACAATTACAGTAAGAGATATAAACAACCATAAAATTGTGATGGAGCAGATCCTTATAGTTAGACATGTTGCTGATATGGTTACTACACTTTGTTTGAAAAGTGGCATTGTAATTTTTTGCTTAGAGCGAATAATGTTTGTCCAAAGTTAAAGATCAAAGATATGACAAGAGTTCTAATACCGTATGTGGGATGAACTTAATAGATTGAAGACTTTTATCTTGAATAAAAGTCCATACATGAAAAATGTGTCATTTCGCGATAAATTAGTTCCAAACCGACATGCCCTTTGAATTTTTTTATGTATAATATGATAAAAGTTAGATATATAGAACCATATCATTAAATAAAGTTGTATTAAATGATGAAATCATAAACTTGATTTATACTTCATTTTTAACACGATAGTATTATATTTTAGACAAGTACCAACAAATATTGTGGCACAATGTGTAGCATTCGACATTATCGTAGTTCGGCTCCGAAATCTTGATCATTTTATAGTATGAAAAATAACGAGGATTCTAATGTAAAATCAGAAATGGCGCAAAGATGAATCATTTCTAATCCAAATTATGTCTTTCTTTCAAAAAGTCAAATACAATTGTTTAGAATTGTCTTAATGAGTTCAAAATGAGACTATAATCCATATATGTTCAAGCCGACATTGGATTACTATTTCCAGTTAAAAATAATAATATGAATGCACTTGACAAAAAAGACCAATGATACACCCGATTCGACCGACCCAACCCATCCCATTTCCATCTATGCGGGAGTGCCCTCGCTTCAGAAAACTGCTGGGTCCGCCACTGCAAGGGAGAGATCCTAAGTTTAAAGTTTAAACTCCAAACAATGATTTGAAATCGAATTCTACACTTTTTCCATCAGAGTGAGATCGAGCTCAACTTATATTCTACTAGATAACTGTCTGATCGGTTCGGGATGAGGTGTCATATTTTTTCACTAATATCTATTTTTTTATGTTATGAGTGTCGTATCAATTTCATATTGAGTTCATGCTTTTTATTTTCCCCAATTTTGTGTATGATTATTAGGCTTGGACGAAAACGCGAACATTATGAGGAAATGCGAGACATTTTTTGCTCAAAAAACACATGCTTGGAGATTTTCTGAAGATTTTTCATTGAGTTTTCTAAACGGAAACGTACTCTTTCACGAGAGTTTCCGTGCTACGTAGTTATTAGGATGTTTTACTTGGATTTGTTTCTGTCCCAGATCATACTTAAACAAACTAGACTTTAATAAACTAGATCAGATCAAACTTCTGCAGTTATAAAATATATAGAGACTAGACATGAACAAACCAATCCAGATCAGACCAGACCATAAAATTTCAATTATATTCTTTACCCACTTGACCACTTGAGATCCTTTCGGATAAATTTTTGTCACTTAAAATCACACGATAGGGCTAGAATTTTGGCCAGACAGACACAAATAGTATAGACACAAGTCACACAACAATCATGTATCAAATATGAGCAAATTCAAAGAGATTGATCTAACGTGGAGTTGTTTAAAAATTGGTAAACAATAGAAGTAATTCCATATAAAACAATAATCCAAGTATGATTTATGTTGTACAAGGTATATCAAAAGACCTGTCCTTTTGCATTATGTTATCCAATATGAATGTTTCTTATCCGAACTTAGGATGTTATTCGTTGGATTGAAATTTTCTAATCTGCTTTGTTTTTTTTAAACGGAAACTTGTTTCTATTCATATAATAAGTTTCAGGATCATTACATCAATCACAGGAAAAACAAATCTGACACCAACTAAACTCCAACAACTACGACTGTAAACCCTATGATCAAACTTAAAGACGGTCAACCATGAAATAGCAACACGAATCGCTAACCATGCAACGGGCTTGACACAACCATCTTTGTTTCCATAGATCCAAACATACCCAATGACATAAAAAAGGCTAAAATTCCCAAACAAACTGACAAACCTAACAATATAAATGGTAACAAGAAATCAAATGACAAAATAATAAAAACTAATAGAATAGGGCGAAACATGAAAAAAACTAAATAAGCAAAATAAATATCTTGAACCCTAGCACCTCGTTTAGACTTTAGACCCCGACATTGGTTCAGGAGGAGGCCGGACCATCACTACGATTGTTGACACGAACAAGGCACGGCTCCTGCCCGTCGCTCGACTGATACCTTGACGAGAAACCTCCGTCTACCCCGCAATTTCAGCCCCTCTGGACGTCTCCCTTTCTCCCTCCCTTGGTTCCCTCATATTCAGAACAATTTTTGAATCAATGTAAGAAAGCCACGAAGAAAACAAGAAAAAAGTCTCAAACGATGCCTCAAAGCCACGCAGAATCCAAAACTACTCCTCGAAAAATGTCGAAAAGCTCTAGCGGCTAATAAGCCCTAGAGAAAAGGCCGAAAAGTGCTGAAGAAGACGATCTGCTCAAACAAGATGACGGCGGAAATCCTCACCCTAGACGATGTGCTCTAGGGTTCCGAACTTGCCTTCCAACTTCCTCTAGTAATCTGCTCTGGTTTATTTAGTTTAGGTTTGATCCAGTTAGGTATGATGATGTCTGTTATGTGTACTTTACAATTGTCGAAGTCTTGTCTGATTTAATTTGATATGGTCTGGGATTGAAATCAGTCCAATTAAAAACATCTTTAATCTTTTTAGTTACCACATGTATAGAAAATGTACTTGTGGTTTGGGCCGTTTTCAGATAGGGGCACATGTTTCATTTTTTGACAAAATGGGACATGTGTTTCAATTCCGTTATCACAGCAGGGGCATGGTGTCTAAGTGTCTAACGCCGTTAGAAAATCTAAGCCCGATTTTCAAAAGTATCTGAAACGTTAAAAGAAAAATATTGGGAAATGCGTCTCGTCAAGGAGACCAACAAACTATCGTTCTCTTTGAATTTTTCGGCTCTATTTGGATTATTTTTTAAAAATGAATTTGTTAACATCACATTTCTGGTGGATTTTTTGGCGATAAGGTGGCTGGGAAAAAAAAAAGAAAGATAGTTTGTTGGTCTCCTTGACGAGGCGCACCTCCCATTATTTTTCTTTTAATGTTTCAGAGACTTGAAAATCGGGGTTAGATTTTCTAACAGAGTTAGACGCCATGCCCCTGCTGTGATAACAGAATTGAAACACATGTCCCACTTTGTCAAAAAATGAAACATTTACATTTTCTATATATATTTTTTCGTCGAGTACTCTTCTATTCTAGGAGGAAGAGAATCTAACAAGAAAGGTTACATGTTTGATGTGCGAACATTCCATGCTCAATATGCCGAGTCCAATGTAAAACCGATTCCTAATCCTATTCGATTGGTTCTGAATGTTCTCGATCTTATCAGAATAAGCAATAATAAGGTGAACAAAGCAACACCTAAAACATTGAGGTCTAATATAGTTAGCTGAGTGAGAATCCTACTAATCTATTCACAAACTCAAGATTGGAATTTGCCGCCTCCGTAGGTATTAATATATACCACTTTTTTTTTTCTATTTCATTTATGTTTTTCCAAGTTCACATTATACATATCATTTTCATTTACCCCAGTGCCGCAAAGGCTCCCACTTACGGTGAGGTAAGGGGGGTCGTATGTACGCAGTCTTACCCCTGTACTAAAGAACAGAGGGACTGTTTCCGGATGACCCATAGTGAAAATCGTGTCCAAAATTGCATGAAATGTCTGCTGCTTCGTAACAAAGAAGCACAGACAGTTTAGTGAGCCATTTTGCTTTATTCTATCATATTCTCAAACAAAAAAATAATGAACCTTTGATTTCATTGCAAATGAAAAAAATCACATTGTGCATTGCCAACCAAACTTTTAGATTTATGTATGTTTTAGATAGTGGTGGACTCGGGCCGGGCGGCCCGGCCCAGCCCGGTTACTGTTTGGCCCGGCCCGGCCCGGGGCCCGGTGGGTCCACCGGTTCGGTTCGGCCCGACCCGGCTGCTGGGTGGTTCGGGCTCGGGCCCAGTTTTTGGTGAACCGGCCCGGCCGGTTCGGGCCGGTTTTTAATTTTTTTTTTTTTTTTGAATTTTTTTTAAGTTTTGGGTTGGATTAGGTATTTTGGGCCATTTGAGGTGGTTTGGGGTGGTTTGGGGTTGGGGGTTAAATAGAAGAGCCAAAAAAAAAAAAAAAACCGGTTAGGCCCAACCCGGCCCGGCCCGGTTTGGCCCGGAACCGGAACCGGAACCGCCCACCGGCGGTTCGGGCTTGGGCCCAACTTTCCTGGCCCGAGGCCCGGCCGGGCCCAGGCCCGAACCGGCCCGAGTCCACCACTAGTTTTAGATTTAGATGATATCCGTGTTCAACATAGCTCCTTAGATACATATGACCATAAAAAAAAGT